ATATATATATATATATATATATATATATTAGTTCACAGCTGAATTCACTTTATAGCATGTATATATCATTGTTTATTAACATATTTTAAATATATATTTTTTATTGTTTTGGAGGGTATGGTGTGTGTCTGTGTGATAGAAGTTTTTGTTTTATTTTTGGGCTTGATTAAATATTTAAAAAAAATAATATAAAATGATGACAATTAAAAAATGTAATCTGGTATAAATTAACACTTAGCAAGCATAACAAGGCATAATAAATCAGCAGTGACAGTTCATTGCTTTAGAGACATTTAACTCAATCAGCTGGAAGGGCAGTCACATGAACACTGTTTATTAGATTTTGCCCAATGTGCACCAGTTTCTTTCACTGGGGTTTGCTTTCAACTAATCAAAATCAATATCTGTCTCAAGTGTTTTATCTCTCTCTGTGCCCACAAGGTTTTTAATAAGACAGCCACTGTTTAATTTGTGGTATATATATAATGTAGATGAGTTTGTTTCTTTATCAGAACAGATTTGGAGAAATTTAGCATTACATAATTTGTTCAGCAATGGATCCTCTGCAGTAAATGGGTGCCGTCAGAATGAGAGTCCAAACAGCTGATAAAAACCTCACAATAATCCACAAGTAATCCACATCAGTCCATCAATTAATGTCTTGTGAAGTGAAAAGCTGCATGTTGTAATGAACAAATCCATCATTAAGATGTTTTCAACCATCCATAATATTGCTTTCTCCAGTGAAAACTCATCTCTTCTGAATCAGGAGAGAAATATGCACAGATCAAACACTGTTTACAAGTGAAATCAGTCCAAAATCAGTTCTAAACAAATATATCGGTGTGTCTTGATGTGAGAAGACAACAGGGGATGGACTTTTTTACTGGAGGAAGCGTTGTTATGGATCTTAAACCAGAAGCGACAGTTTAAAGTTGAAACATCATTATGATGGATTTGTTTCTTACAAAGATGCAGCTTTTCACTTCACAAGACGTTAATTGATGGACTGATGTGGATTACTTGTGGATTATTGTGAGGTTTTTATCAGCTGTTTGGACTCTCATTCTGACGGCACCCATTCACTGCAGAGGATCCATTGGTGAGCAAGTAATGTAATGCTGAATTTCTCCAAATCTCCTCCAATTAAGAAACAAACTCATCTACATGTTGGATGACCTAAGAGTGAGTACATTTTCAGCAAATTTCCATTTTTGGGTGAACTATTCCTTTAAGGAATCGATATAAATAATCAGAACTGTAGCCACATTTGTACAGTTTTTTGCAATCCACATCCCTGTATCAGCAAGGGGGGGTCACACCTGTCAATTTCGCTCATCATGTGCAAAATATTATTTATAAAGTTGAGGCCGAGAGGATGGGCCCCCAGTAGGAGCAGAAGCGACTGTCCTATCTCAGGGAAGATTATCTCTAATTGGGTGGAGCAACAGGGGAGCGATGCTGCCGTTTCCAGGGCAACAACCTCCAGAGAGGAATGACTAAATGCCAACTGACAAGTGATAATTGTCAGCAGGGCTAGGCGATATGGCCAAAAAAATGATCACAATACATTTCAAACATTCATTTCTTTCAAGTTTAAAGGCAGATTTTTGCTCATTTTTATATGAAATGTAATTATTCTGACTGTTTGAGTTTTATTAACATTAACCATTGGTCTTCCACAGTAGCATACATTTTGATCATGAGATCACAGTTAAAACCACACATATAGCACCTCAATACTATGGTAAAAATATGGTTTGTAGATATTTGAATGAAAAACTGTAGTCTTTACATTTGGTATTTAGCTATAGCTTAATCACCAAAGTACTGTAATTATATTCCATTACTCCTTTAATATGTTTAGTACATGTGTGACCCTGGCCCACAAAACCAGTCATAAGGGTCAATTTTTTGAAATTGAGATTTATACATCATCTGAAAGCTATATAAATAAGATGTATGATGTATGGTTTGTTAGGATAGGACAATATTTGGCCGAGATACAACTATTTGAAAATCTGGAATCTGAGGGTGCAAAAAAATCAAAATGTTGAGAAAATCGCCTTTAAAGTTGTCCAAATGAAGTTCTTAGCAATGCATATTACTAATCAAAAATTAAGTTTTGATATATTTATGGTAGGAACTTTACAAAATGTCTTCATGGAACATGATATTTACTTAATATCCTAATGATTTTTGGCATAAAAGAAAAATCAATACTTTTGACCCATGCAATGCATTTTTGGCTATTGCTACAAATATACCCCAGCGACTTAATATCCCACATTTCTGCCACAATACCATGGTGCAGTTAGTGTTACTAGAGTAAATGTATGGTATATGACGGCGATTTGTAGATTTAAAGTCTTCTGACTGTATCGTTGCCTGTGTCAGCAATTTAACATGCTTTTTATTGTTTTGTCGTTCACAGAGTGCCCACCTGGCCATGATTGACACGCTGATGATGGCGTATACAGTAGAGACAGTGAGTGTGGAGAAGGTGATGGCCTGCATGCAGCAATACTCCACCGATTACCCAGACGGAGACGTGCCCTACGACACAGAGGATGCCGTCACTAGCTGGGTGAATAAGGTATTTTTGCTCTTTTGTAAATCTTAAGCTTACCCATAATGCAATTCGAATGCATGTACTGAGCCTGATCGTCATCTTCTACATTGTACTATTAACACAGACAGAGGTTTGTTGCACTTTTAAGCTGACTTGAATATTTCCTTGTTGGCATGTGTGATCTCTGAGGGCATCTTTGAGTGTCGGTGAAGGGGTGTCCCGGGACTTTTGTTTACATTCCCTTGCAGGCCAGCTGTACAGGCAGCCTAAATCATACACGCATGCTAAACAGGCCATGAGGGACTGCAGGACATTTCTGTTTCTTTTGGTGTCTTCCTGCTGAAGACTTTTGAAGAAGGGTTTTTGGTGTGTTTACATCATGCGTTTTATCATAATAGTGAGTTTCAGATTCATTCTTAAAATTGGACCATCATTTAATGAATTAGTGTTGCCGTAAACCAGGGGTCTCCAAACTCGGTCCTGGAGGGCCGGTGTCCTGCAGAGTTTAGCTCCAACTTGCCTCAAACACACCTGCCTGGAAGTTTCTAGTATGCCTAGTAAGAGCTTGATTAGCTGCTTCAGGTGTGTTTGATTACGGTTGGAGCTAAACTCTGCAGGACACCGGCCCTCCAGGACCGAGTTTGATGACCCCTGTCATTAACAATACAAGATATGAATATATACAGCAAACCGGCAAATATATCAATATGAATAAGCAATAAAATGATATAATACATGTGGGGATTTCCAAACATTTTTGTCATATTTACATGAAGTATCCAATGAGATTTTAGGTTTATATTTCAATAATTTAACAACACATTGGCATGTTTACAGTTCTCTGATGTCAGTTAATGGCCATGTGACATGCAAACAAATAAAATATTTATTTTGTTTTTATTTATTTATTTCCAGTTTTTTAATGATTAATTTTAATTGTACATTTTTATGATTTAATTAATTATTAGCTTTTCACAAACTTAATATAATATAATATAATAATATATTGACCTAAAATATTTACTTAAAGTACCTTGAGATTTTAAGGTCATATTTTAGTAATTTAATATTTGCATATTTTCCATTGTCTAATGTTGGTTAATGGTCACATAATGCAGGTACATAAATATTTAATGTTCTTTTGTTAAGTGAAGTTAAATTTATTTTAAATTATTTATTTATTTTAATTGTACCTTTGTATGATTTCATTCATTATTAGTATTTCATCAAATCTCCATCTCCAGTTTTGGAAACAATATCATATCATATCATAATAATATTATATTATATTATAATTAATATAATATAATATAATATAATATAATATAAGTTCTTTTGTTAAGTGAAGTTAAATTTATTTTAAATTATTTATTTATTTTAATTGTACCTTTGTATGATTTCATTCATTATTAGTATTTCATCAAATCTCCATCTCCAGTTTTGGAAACAATATCATATCATATCATAATAATATTATATTATATTATAATTAATATAATATAATATAATATAATATAATATAATATAATATAATAAGCTTAATTTGTATGTAAGTGTGTGTTTGAACTAAAAGGAGTGGCAGTGATTTTAAGCTCAAAAACTCCTCTGTGTTTTACTAATTTTCAAGGTGAATGAATACTTGAAAGAAATCATAATGCAGGAGCAACGGAGGACGGAGGCGCAGAACGCAGAGCCTGTTGAGAATCCAAAGGTAAGTGTGCACTTCCTGTTCTTGCTCTAAAGCAGCGATGATTCAAAAGTCACTTTCATCCGTAGGAGGAAGATACAGAAAGTGTCAGAGATAAAGATGGATTTTTGTCATAATGAGCTCTCGTACGTTTCTGAAATCTGCTTAAAACAACGTTCTGCCAGCATGCCAGTGAAATTTCTATTCATCATGCCTCAAAACTCAAATACTTGTACAGATTATTCTGAAACTCATGTATTCTGATACTGAATACTGTACTGTACAATACAAGTAATGAATTACTTAAATACAGTCTTGAATTCACAATCTTGAACACAACAATAATGCAGAAGATTTGGGAATACTCATCGCTTAAAGGGTTAGTTCACCCAAAAATGAAATTAGG